TGATTGCAAAATACATAATTAAAAAGTATTTTTTTGAGACTGGGCTTGCTGTGTTGCCAAGGCTGGACTCTAACTTCCGGGCTCAAGTGATCTCCCTGTAGCTGGGACTGCAGGCATGCACGCCTGTGCTTGGCTTTACAACTTATCACATTCCTTAAGATTTCCACTTTGTACATGTTTACAGCGTTCATATTAACATACAAATATAGGCATACAATCTATAAATGAACTATATGTTGGAGGTGATGGAGCTCTCAAAACTCTTCCTTAAAATATGACACACTAACAAGTATGGTGGTGCAGGTTTGTAATTCTTGTATTCTGGGTGGCTGAGGCAGGAGGATCACAAGTTTGCACTCAGACTCAGCAATTTAATGATATCCTGACTCAAAATAAAAAATAAAAGAGCTAGGATGTAGCTCAATGTCAAGATCCTAGGCTCAATCTCAATATATATATATATAGATAGATAGATAGATAGATAGATATGTGCAACTGAGTATTTAAGCTGAAGGAATTTGCAAAAAGCAGATGCTAGAAGGACTTTCAAACCTTCCCCTTCCTCCCCAAGGTAAGTCATAAAACCTGCATACAAGAGTCATGAAAGGAGAGCCTGGGCTCTGAAGGGGAAGCACACTGAGAGGAGAATGAGCCAGTGGGCTTTGCTAAACTCCTGCCCCCTTCCCCACAGTGAGCTCAGACCCTTTGTCCTATCACCTCTCCATTCTCCATCAAAGCCAGTACAAAAACACTTAGATGATGTGTGTGTGTCCATTACCTTGTGAAGCCTCCTGTGTCATGCAGACCGTAAATGCTTCTCTCTCATTATTTGTCCTTTGTCAGCCTCATTTACAGAACACTAATCAGTGAAGCCAAGTGAGCAGAAGAAAAAGAGTTTTCCCCCCCTTTACAGAAATGTGTGCTCAAAATGTCTTGTACTCTGAGTAACTACTTTAAGATAATGATACACAGTGTAATAACCATTGTTATTTGATTATGAAATTTCACTCTATTCCTTTATAAAATGAAAATCACTTTTTACTGATAGTGATGTGACATATAAGTTTTTAGATCGTGGCTCTGATAATTTAAAACACAATTAAAGGGGCTAAGCCTAGCATGCTTAGCACATGTGGAGCCCTGGGTTTGATCCCCAGCGTGGCACACACTTATACAAAAGACAGTTAAAAAATTTTAAACTGAAGGGCAGTTCCTTCAAGAGTTGGTGCTGAATGAATAAGACTGATTTTTACAAGCTGGGGTATACGAATCGAGGTAACCCTGAAATTTAATAAATACCCTTTCTGTTGAGTGCTCTTCCTGGTCTGCCTATTTGAGCAGACTACCTGTTCAGAGGAAGCTTTATTGATTATTTCCATGCCCCTACCTTACATCTCCGAATTAGGTAAAATTCCTCCCAAATTGTAGCATTTCCAGCCAAAAACAATATTGAAATACCATTTTCAATTGACTCTTATGCAACTTCATAAATTATTTTTAATTCATTTTGTCTTTTTATTTATGTATTTTTGGGTTTCAATGTATTTATTTTTATGTCCTAATGCTCAAAAGAACATGTAAATATGTTCAAACATAGATACAACTATAGACGAATACAATTAATGGTAATGTACTCATTACCCAGATTTAGTAGTTTCTAAGATTTTGCCACATTTGCTCAACTCTTCATTTTTTAAAAATGTAGTTGGTTTTTTTTGTTGTTGTTGTTTGTTTGTTTGTTTTGTATTGGAGATTGAACCCAGGGCCTTCACACTGAGTCACATTCCAGTTCTTTTTACAAAATGTTTTTTATTTTGAAACAGGATCTCCCTATATTAAGACAGTGTTCTAGGATACTGGGATCACAGGTGTGGACTGCCGTGTCCATCTAGGTCATCTTTTTGAGTTTTCCAAATATGGGGGTTTAAAAATATTTTCTTTTTCTTTTTCTTTTTTTGGTACTGGGAATTGAACTCAGGACCTTGCACTTGTCAGGCAGGCGCTATGCCACAATATTTTCCATAGAAGTAAAAATGTTTATCATACTTTACTGTCTAGTTTTACCAAAGTTTTGATATATAATCCATTAATAAGGTTTTCAACATCACAACTATATAACAAGCACACATTATTTTGTTCCTAGCCCTCTTTCCATCTACTCTGATATCCCTGTTTGCTTGAACTCACTTCAAGAGACCATTTGTCCCTTCTGTAACCCTTTGAGTGTTTCTATCCTGTCCTATCCCTTGCTCGCACAAAAGGCAGCATATGTGGTATTTGGCATGCAGCTTCTTGTACTCAGAATATTCTGGAATATAACTACACGGAGAAATTTTACATCCATTCTATCAATGTGCCATTTACGTTTCCTCAGCCCTACAGGTGGATGCTTAATTATTTCCATTCTGTTGCTATTATAAAAATGTTCAATTTAGATACACACGACTTGTTATCTGAAGGATAATTCTATCTGTAGAATAATTTCCCAGAAGAGAAATTACTAAGTCATAAGCTAAATTTTTAATTTTGAGAGACTTTACCAAGTTTCCCTCTAAGCTTGCGCCCTTTTAAAATTCCCATCAGTGGTATATGAAAGCACCAGTTTACCCACAAACTCATCAACAACGTATCTTTTTTGTTTTGGTACCGGGAATCAAACTCACAACCTCGCGCTTGCCAGGCAGGCGCTGTGCCCCTCAGCTACATCCCTAGCCCCAACAATTGATTGACACAAGATTATAACTAAGAATTATATGTAAAAGAATCCCTTCAAGTTCTGAGTAAAGAAATACTCTATGTAGCAGCCAATGAAAAGTTTTTTTTTTTTTAAGTTATTTTTAAAGTGCATCACAAACTAGCTCAATAAAAAGTCGGCAGCCATCTAGGGAATTTGCTAAAGGTAACTAGTCTGGAAAAGTCTTCCTGGGGGCGGGAATCACAGATTTGTCTCACTCCCAGGCCAGAGATTCTTTTTAATCCCTGATGATGAGCCGACTTCTTAACTTGAATCCAGAAATTGGAAGGAAGGTTATAGTCCTCATTACACAGCAATGGTTTGAAGCCTTCTAATTAGAGTATTATTCTTTATTGACACTGTCAGTTCCAGTCCCCCAGCCCTATTCCCACGTTGGGCAATGAACCCAGGGGCTCATGCATGCCACTCAGGAATTATATTATGCATTACCCCTGAATTATATTTCCCAGCTCTTTTAGGGCCTCACTAAATTGTACAGGCTGGCCTTGAAATTGCTATCCCCCCACCACCGGGACAGGGTGGTGACCCACGTGGGTTTTTACACCGATTTTTTGTTTTTGTACACATCTGTTTTTAGTTTGCTGAACTATTTAATCCCTTTATCCAGTCCCACCAAGCAGTTCAGATCACCAGAGTATACTCAATTTTTGTAGCCGAGCAGGATTGCTTTAGTTCTGAGAGTATGATGAATTTGCGAAACAGGAGCCGTGCAAGTTTTAGGTAGGTAGCTCTTCCAAGCCTAGGACACAGGTATCAGTATTTCTGGCCATTCTTTCGCTCTGTGTGTAATATTGAGCAAGCCCGCTCTCTCCAATTTGGGGTAGAGCAGGTATCTTATTAGGAGCAGCTTATGCGAGGTTCCCCAGACTGCTGACGCGGTCTCTCCACGCTGACGGCGGTGTGAGATGCATTTCTGATTATTATTTAGAACCGCGCCGTTCGGGATTAACCATCTGGTCGTGTTTCCAGTGCGTCTGTAACCCGGCTTCGGGTCCGGTTTTGGCATCTCTCGGCGCACCGTCCACCGCCCAGGCGCGCTC